AATTTATTTTGTTCTTTTTGCAGCTTTGTTTTATTATTTAAGCCATTGTGATTATTATTATTTTATTCAATATTATTATTATCTTGCATAATGGAACATAGTGTCATGGATCAGAAAATAAGTGGTTTTGTACCAGGATGCAAGAATACCTCAATAAGGGCTCCAAACAAACTCTTTCTAACCGTTTCCCATGATTATACACGTAAGAGTATTAGAGTAACTAATAATGAATTTACGGATTTTTACTTACAATGCTGCTTTGACACCCTTAAATTCGGCTGAATTAAAGAGTTAAATAAAATAAAAAAATGTACACATGGTAAATTGTTTGTTGACGCTTTAAAGAATCCTTCTGAAGCCAATTTTTAGTTTAACACAAACTATAAATTATTTAAATCACAAAGTAATTAATGAAACACAACCACACAACTAAACACTATGCACAGAACGTAAACAATCCGCTATTTATATGACCAGAGACGTCACAACCAATAGGATTGCGTTTTCAAGATTCATGAGTAATTTGAATTTTAGTTGAATTTGTTTATTAAATATTTAACAAAATAGCATGTATAGCTACAAGTCTTAAGCGAAACCAAGATTTGGACTTGCGGGAACAGTAATATGTGTAATTGAAATATGGTGCATATTCTCATATGATAAAGTGGTTCAAAAAAAATATTGCCAGATAATATTTTATCTGTTTCAGTAATTAAATTAAATCATTAAATGTTAAAATTTAAAAAAACTTTAGTACCCCGGATATCAAATCGTGGAAACAAGATGTTCTTGCGCAAGAAAGTGATGTATTTACAACATACATTCTAATGACAATGATAATAAGGCAAATAAAAACAATTTAAAAATTTACCGTATTTGAAAATGTTTGTGGCAGTTGCCAGAAAAACGCTTAATAATTATCGCCCCAGTGGACTCTTATACCAACACGCTCTATGTACTTTATTGGGATTTTCTTCACATAAGCGCGGACGTGTACTGAACAGCCCTGGTATCTCCGATATGCATACTAAATCGGCTAATAACGGTGATCTAGATTTAATAGCAAATTTCGAAAAAAAAAATATTTAATAGATTGGGTAATATAAACTGGTTTACTGAACACATTCAGAACGTTCTTGCAATAGTTGAACCATATATAATTGTTAAGGCTAAATATGCTAAAGAACAAGAGGAAGTAGGAGCAGTTTTTAAATAAAAAAATTRATTATCTCATGTTTGTGATCCATTAGATGTATATGTACTATTTAATGAAAATATAACTAATATTTTTGCGWGCATATTGCGTATATGAAAGGAACAARTTAGACAACTTGCCAGAAAAARTAGAATAAAACAATATTCACWAAATTCCAGAAAAAARGACTATGTTAATAACTCACAAATACACAAGAACATACATTGRCCCTTCGAGTSGGACGGTTCTGTAGTTCAGAGTTGTGATTCCCGAGTGACTTCTGCAAAACCAGTCTTTATTGGCGARGGKAACCCTACTGCTGTCCTGTTCTTACAGTGATAAAATTTTTCCTCCGATTTTCCGATTTGATAATATGCAGATGGTTTTGATATACTTAACRACAACAATTCAATACACACGATTGCATTAAAAGTGACCCAATCGAATTGCCCTAGAAATTTGAAGTTATGGTAGACTTTGCATAAAAGTTAAATTKACTTTCAAACAATCTGTTAATTCCAAACACTTTAGGATGKTCTATGTTTGCATGAGTTAAGATTGATTTKTGCAGGAACCAAATTACAACTGMATATCCTCGAAAGAGCCTTGCTCACCTGAAAATGCACGTAACCGAGGTGGAAAGTGTTTCATTACTGTGGAATTAGATTAGATTAGTTAGCTTACCGAGACGCGAAGCGTCAAGGTTTATCAATTTTTTGAACTAAATTGTGGACTAATCATGGCGACCGTCGGGGAGAAGTCCGAGGCAGAGACTGTCTGACATCAAAGACGGTTTCACAAACGCAAGGGCGAAATTATCTTCAAACAATACAAAAATCAAAAAGAAAGCTTGGATGACTGGTGACATTCTTTACTTAATGAAAGAGAGACACTTGAAAAAAAGGTCGGCCGGAATACCACCGGGTTAATCGTGAAATAAAGAACAAAATTAGAATGGCAAAGGGAAACTATCTCGTAAGACGAAACACGCGACGGAAAATTTCGGAACATGGAACCTACTTAGCCTCTATAGACCTGGAGCCTCTTCACAAGCCGTTAAATAACTGGAAATACAAAATATGGACATAATAGCCGTTCAAAAAATCAAGTGGCCAGGGAGAGGAACCCAAAGAGTGGGAAATTCGGTATTGTAGTATAGCGGAAATGACCGAGGACGACACCAATTTGGGACAGGTTTTATAGTCAGGGAACCCATGGCAAAAACAATCATGGAGTTTAAACCAATAAGTGAAGGTCTTTGCTATATGAGACTGGAAGGGGAGTGGTATAACTACTCGGTGGTCTCAGCCTATGCCCCGAAAGAAGAAAACGACGAGGAAATAAAAGATACGGTCTATGACAAACTAGAAAATCTTATACTGAGTATACCCAAATATGACGTGCTAATTATGCTTCAATCACATTAGCAACGACGATGCCAACCAATGGATTCAGGATTTCAGATAGAAGTCATGGTAGAAACTGCTTGGACGTCAGAAGCTTCAGAGGAGCAGACGCGGATACGGACCACTTCCTAGTGAGGGCAAAGATTAGAATGAGAATCTCCACTTGCCCAACGCCTGAGAAAGAGACCAGAACAATTTGGGATACGGGAAAACTAAGAACGGAAGAGACACAAGAAAGTTACCAAGAACAAATAAATGAGAAAATAAAGGAGCCTCAAGACGAAAACAGCATAGAGGAATTATGGGCTAACATTAAAGATGCAATAACCACCGCATCCAAACACGTACCTGAAAAAAAAACCGAAAAACGAAATGGTTCGATAATGACTGCAAGAGGAAGCTTATTTGAGACGTTTATTAACAACTGAAATTTATAGACATCCAGCAGTGGTAGAAATGCTGAAATTTTCTTATCATTAACAATTAAATAAAGACGAAGATATTACCAGTAAGTTTAAAAGTAAGTGTTTGATTTTGGAATTCGATTTTTAGGACACCGCGACGCATGTTCTGTCTGATGTGTATCTAATCAATCGATACCGTAATCGGCAATCACTATAAATATGCGGACAAGACCCAACCTCTGTATTTAGTAACACTTTCACTAAGTCAAATAAAGAATGTTCATTGTATGTGGCTGCAAATAGCTGTTAAATGGAAATAATACATAGATGATTGTTACAAAAGAATAGTACGTTGATTGACCATAAGCGTAATATATGTTCTGGATGGTAACCTATTGGAAAATACAAAAAAGAACAAATGCAAATCCTTAATTGAATATCATTTATTGTACATCAATGCATTATCATACACATCGAATGGACACTCACTTGCAAAAGTCTTGCACCCCCCATGCATACGTTTAATTTATACAAAATTGTTTTATTGGTAAATAAAACGGGACAATTGGGACTCTTTAATCCCGTGCGCTTTTGTAGCATCACTTTATCCCCACCCCCGTTACAGAGGTATATCAGCGACAGTAACAGCTGAAGAACCAATAATCGCAGAGTTATCTTTCATACTTACCTTGATGCGTTTTACAACGTTCACCGCAGATTTGAACGAAATTTCGAGCAACACTTCTAATAATTTGCAGTTTATATACCCAGACAATTTTTCAATTGATATTATATATATACAGGGTGTCCCAAAAGTAATGGCACAAAACAATAGTTATTTGGAGACATCTACCATCGATTAGGGGAAACTGGTGGCTTTAGGACCATAGTTAATATTTTGGGACGTCCGAAAATTTCAACTCCAGAACAAGTGGAAGACGTTCTGGTTCGTGTTGGAGAAAATCCAGAAATAAGCACAAGACGATTGGAAACTGCAACTGGCGTAAGCAAGTATTCAGTTCATATAATCATTCAGCAATAAAATCTCCATCTTTACCATTTTACGCCGGTATAGAATTTATTAGGACGATTTTACTAGAGCCGTTAATAATTAACTAAACCAACATTTTACGAATCGGTGGATAGATCGTAGAAGTTCTTGGGTCTGGCCGGCGCAAAGTCCTGACTTTTACCCATTAGATTTTTGTGTTTGGGGTTATGTAAAATCATTAGCGTATGATCAAACGGTAGACACCCGAGATGAGTTGTTAAATAAAATTATGAATACAGCCGAATAATTTCGAAATAAAAATATGTTTTTTAAAATTAGACGATCCCTCGATAAACGCATTTCTAAATGTACTGAAGTTAACGGGGCACATTTTGAGCAATTGCTGTAGAAAATTAATGTTTTATTATTAGCGATTACGATAAAAATATGCTACTGTTAAAGAATGAAGTTTAGTAAATATTGATTCACTTAGATACTTATTGTGGCTTGTTTTTTGTAAATACTGCATTTTGTGGTGTAATCGCAAATATCTCGGAAACAAAGGCTGGTTGGTACATCGACTAAGAATACCTTTTTTATACAAAATTAATAGGCGATTAGACCCAACCAGTTTAGAAATCAGAATACCGGGTGACCAAAAAGTTAAAACAATTTTTTGCCCAGATATCGCCGTAAGTGGTTTTTTCCACAAGTTGATCAAAATCTGATGATAAATTGTGATTTCTTATGCTCAAAAACCCCTGTGTACCAAATTTCGTTAAAATATGCAGCTCCGTTTACAGTAGAATGACGAGAAACTGAAATAAAAATGCAACTTTGACGCCCTGTATGTCGGCAACCGTCAACTTTTGGACTAAGTTAAGTTGTATTAAATCATCACATTTTCAGCCCAGGAATCCACCATTTTGTTTTGTGCTATTACTTTTGGTATACCCTGTATAGCATGAATAGTCAATATCAATTCAGTTCATATGAACACCACATTTTCTTGAAAAGCTATTTATTACATAGCTGTCAGATACATTAAATACTACTAAGTACACTTTTAGATTTAAAAGATAATATTTCGAAACATCCAAAAATACAAATAGTATTAACGACTAACATAAGTAACACACTTATAGTATAATAAATAACAACACAAATAATTTTATAGGGTTGAAAACGACCTCTGCAGGATGGAAATTATTTCTTCAGTTTGATGTTAGTTTTTGTTTCCGCTGAAATAGTTTTCACTAAAAAAAGAAACATTCACTTGAATATTGCCATTCTACATTTTGATAACCAGATTGATTTTTAAATATAAACCAAATCAAAATTACGTATCAACATTTTAGAGTAAGCAGTTGTAAATCCATGTTTAGGTAGAGGAACAAACAAGTAAATCGGACAAAAAAGTCTAATAGCTGCCTATCCCATACTGGGTAACTCTACAATACTATACAATCCCATACTAATAACATACTGGCAAAATCATGAGTTGTCGTAGGGCTGCGCAAATGGCTTGGTGCGCGAACCCAACGGATCAGATTATCCTGCAGGAAACTCATACACAACTTCTAAATTGTGTGGCTGCTGTTCCTAGATATTCAGCTGGGAAAAAAGTCGATTTGAAGAGTTAGGAAAACAGTACCTAATTGTCATTGAAGATTTTAGCAGCAATTATTGCCGAATCAGAAAACAACCTACAGGCCAACTCAATCTGCACATTTTTATCAACAAAACCAAATGTATGACCATCGTGAAAGATTTGCTCAGATGTAAGCAAGTGGTGGAGGAAAATCTCATAGCACAGATGATGCAATTCAGATATCTAAGCAAAGACATATCAAGCATCCACGACCCAGTTAAAGACCTGAGGCTGAGGAACTACATTAACAAAGTCCGCGAAGACACCAACAAGACCCAACACATGCTAAGGGTGGACAAAATGAAAACACTGAGAACAATAGTGGGGAWAACAAAAACAGATATCAAAGAACAATGCAAAATACAAGATATTGTGGGATGGGGACGACAACGTAAGAGGTAGTGGTGACAACGTAAGTACAGTRGAATAGATGTCATAAGATGRGCCTACAAGATAAATATATTTCTAAAAAACAAGATCAGTTGGAATGCAAATACCTGTTGCTCCTTAAAYATCAAAAGCTCAATTATCCATAGATCAATATAGAAAGAGACAATTAAATAGATTAAGGTAATCGGTGTAGTAAGCAAATGTCAAGAATACATCCCATAAAACGTTATACAGCGTGATACTATTGTCTCTTTGATTTTYATTGMTTTATGTTTATCCATGGTTACCGGAGTTTTTAATAATTACGAAGRAACAGGTATTTGCGCAATGTTAATTATGTAGAGTAGAYTACCTTGAAAAACATTGWTGCCATCCTTCTSATCTAGTTTTTCGCAAATATCTGAGTTTTTAATAACATTTAATTGTTTTTACTATTTTTTCTGTACTSCCAAGACACCCCCAGACAACACCTCCAGAGGAATAAAGCCAATTTTCAATCACCCTATTATAAATAGGAAAAACATTTTGGCGGTAGTGGTAAAAAAAGCTTAGATATGAATCTGTGTGTTTGAAAAGAACCGCTTTGAAATGTGGACAACTCACAAGAGGTGTTCGAAGTTCTACCCCTATATTATTTTCGACTTCGGACTATTCGAATTAAGCGGCGCAAGAGAACAATGTAAGAATTTTTGCTATTCGATTCGCATCGCTGAATTCGATTGCTGTTGTTGTAAGCTTAAGGTAGTTAATAATTGACTGCTTACCATCCAGGAACATTAGCGGGATCATCACATCTAAAGGATTCTTCATTATACACGGTTTTGTTAGCGCAATATCCTTTCTGAGGTTGCACCCCATTCCTGAAAGTGTTGGAATTTAGAGTTGCAGAAATCAAATAGAAACGATAAGCATTCGCTTAAATATGCATGTCAAATTTACCTGCATATATAAAATTTGTCGCAGTCTTCAGGATG